GGCTCTGAAAACATCTTCACGGTCAGCCATCGATGATGCTATAATAGTGGGGGGCCTGGGAAGGGTATTGTTTTGTACATTATACTTGGCTTTGGTAGTCTGTGGAGAGATTTGAAGTAAATTTGGTCAACTTTCTCAGAATCAAGATTCAGATTTCTACACAGAATATTTCTCAATACAGTTTCTGTGTTATCGTTCCTCTCTTCTGGGATTTCATTGAATAAGAGGTTCGGCTTTTCTTGACACACTCTAACCAGTTACTGATTGTACTGTAGACAATGGTGAACATGTTGACAATATTGGTGATGGTCTTAGCAATGTGAAGTGTGATGACAAAAGTTACGAAATTCTGATGTGTTAGCTCACGTTGATGAGAAATTATCACATTTAACTCCTGAAGAGAAAGCTCAAATAACAGATTTGATTCATGAGTTCTCTCACTTATTTCCTGATGTGCCTGGCCGAACTGATGTTGTTAGCCATGATATGCTTACATGGACGATGTCATCAATTATGACTATGAGTCTTGCAAAGTGTGAATTTGTATTTTAGGGCATGTTGTAGGGCACGGCCAGGTACAGCCAGTTCATGCTAAAGTTGAAGCAATTGTACAATTTCCAGTACCTCAGTCTAAGAGAGAAATCATGAGATTCATGGGTATGGCAGGCTATTATAGAAAGTTTTGTCAACATTTATCAGATGTGATATCACCACTCACGAAACATTTGGGGAAAAAGGTAAAATTCCAGTGGGATAGCAGTTGCCAGGCTGCATTTGAAAAAGTCAAAGCCATACTCCTGAATTCTCCAGTGTTGCAAGCAACACATTTTGAGAAAGCATTTAAGTTACAAATTGATGCAAGTGATGTAGGTGCAGATAGTGTCCTGATTCAAGAGGATGATTCAGGGATTGATCATCCTGTTTGTTATTTTTACGTTGGAATATTGTTCGACATGAAAGGGAAGTTGACTATTGGAAAGTTGAAATCATCCTTTTTGTCATACAACTTTGTGGAGATTTGTTGTCACTCTGAATCTTTATGCATAGATCTATATATGAAACAGTTGAAGTGGTCTCACTTGTCTCCTTAATTTCAAGTTCAGGTGGGTAAATCAGTGGAAGGCAATTGGCTATTTGATGATTATTGAACGATATTAAATCATCGATTAAGTTAAACTTCTCGGCCAAATATTGTTTTGATTTTAGAAACCCAAGCAGAAATTCTGATTCATATGCATAAGGAAACAGATCCGCAAGGAGGGGAGTGCAATTTGTGCCCATGGGGATGCTTACTTCTTGGCGAAATGTTTTACCTACGAATTTCACAAAGATGTTGTCAATGAGAAAGTCCAACATTTCACATATTGTTTTCTCGGTAAACTTCAAATGACATTTGCTTTAATTTTGACAATTTTTCCCGAACCTCTGAAGATAGATATGTTAGTATATCATTGTTCACCACGTTTTTACAAACGCCCCCCGAATGAAGGAATGAAGTTTTTCCTTAAGTTGAAAAATGAAATGTTTTCACAGAACGGAACTCGGCCCGTTTCTAAATTTGGAAGCAACTTCACTGTTGTTAGTATACTCGGTGTTATGCCAACGACTATTTAATTCAAATCATTTGATTCTCAAATACAATCGATTGTACTATACTAGCCACATAAAGAAACGGTGCATTGTCAAAATATTATCCCAGTTGATAAGTACGATAACAATGTCAAAGGTACATATAAACTTTAATGGAGGGAGCATGAGACCATAACAAGTAGGGAGAATTTCAATTGAAAAGTCAATCACAATGACGTCACGAGTCCACAAGCGGGACGGGGGTCAAACGAGCATGTCACAAGCTCAATAACGGGTATGTCCACCATCGGCATTGAGAACAGCAGTGCATCGACGACGCACAGAGCCTATAAAACGTGCAAGGAAGGCTTGTTGGATGTCACGTCAGATTCTCTCAAGTTCTGTTGGAAGGTCAAGGACGTTATCTGGCGGATGAGGAAGACAGCGTAGACGTCGAACCATCTCGTCCCAAACATGCTCTATCTGGGAGAGATCCGGTGAATTTGCAGGCCAAGGCAGTAAGTCAACGTTGTGGTGTTGCAAGAAATCCATAGCAACCCTTGCCGTATGAGGGCGGGCATTGTCCTGTTGGAATGTTAACCCAGGGCCATGACGTTGCAGAAAAGGGATTGCCACAGGTAGAAAGAATCTGATCCCTGTAGCCCACACCAGTTAAGTTGCCCTCAACAATCACCAAAGGAGTTCTTTGGCGTGCTGTTAATCCACGCCAAATCATCACGGAACCACCACCAAAGCGATTCCTCTCCAAGACACAGGCCTGTGCATAACGTTGTCCCAAGCGTCTATAGGCACTATGGGAAATGTTAAACCTGGACTCATCTGTAAAAACAACATTTCTCCACCAAAACAAGGGTCTGCGGACATGATTTCGGCACCACATTCGGCGAGCTTGTCGATGACGTTGTGTCAGGATGGCCGTACGGCGGGACGTCGTGGTCTGATCCCGTGATGACGTAAACGTTGTCGAAAGTGTGTTGGGGTGGATACGGCGAAGTCCTGGGATGGTTCGGGCAGTCATCACTGCAGTCTGAAACCTGTGGCGAAGATAGGTCACCCTTATCCATCTGTCCTGTCTTGGCGTTGTCACACGTGGACGTCCAGAATGTGGCCGATCGATGACGTCATTTGTGTTCTGGTAGCGTCTAACCAATGCAGAAATGGTGTTCCGGTGGCAGTGGAAATGTGCAGCCACTTGTCGTTGAGACATTCCCCCACGGACCATCCCAATGGCCTCATGACGTTGTGCAGACGTGAGCCTTGGCATGCTATGCGTTCCAATAGCCGTTTAATTTTTTGAACGATCGCAAGGGCAGGGGTTGAGCTTTCCACAGTGACAGTATTGTGTGGCATTCATTTGCTTTGTTTCTCATTCCCGGAATGCACGTGCAACAACGTATTGCACGTCTCAAGGACGAACCCACTGACGTCACAGAACGTGGCACGTGCATGCATGTTGGATACATGTCACTAATCTCAGAGTTTCAATCCTTATGTGTCTACAAAGGTTTGATAAATTTAGATTTTAAAGTTTCTTTATGTGCCTAGTATATATGGGTCTGAAATATGGAGTTTTAAAGAGTATTATACCATAGAAAAATTCATTTGCTTGCCCGTAAAACGTTTCCAAATGTTGCTTTGTTAACACCAAGTGCTATTGTTAATGGTGAATGTGGGAGATTTCCATTGTACATACATATCATCTTACTGTCGACGTTTAAAATATTGGTGTAAAATAATATATATGCCTGAACATCGTTTGCCTAAATGAGCCTTCAATATGCTTGCACATCTTGATAATATTGGTAAGAATAATTGGACATTTCATATTCGCACCTTACTATTTAGATATGGTTTGGGTTTTATTTGATTATTACAGAGGGTTGGCAATGTAAATACATGTATCTTTAAGCAGGAATGGCATTAAACTATTAATGAAAGTTTTAGAATTGATTCATATCGTCAAATTAAGTCGTTGTCTGAGGTAACTTATGCTTAGTCTTACTCGGCTAACTTACGCTACAGAAATGTTTGCAATGCTTTTATAGGTTTTAGAATAGGCCTTAATGATTCAGTAATTAACCGTGAGAGATATTTTTGTTTTGAAAAGAGACAAAGATTATGTCCATTCTGTAACATTATTGAAGATAAATTCCATTTTATGTTTATTTGTCCTGTACATGAAAATCTGAGAAATAATTATCTAGGACAATTGCCTTTAACTCTGAGTCATATCAATGTTAAATTGTCTTCCTCACGTTCCTGAAAAGTATCTTCAAAACAAGTCAGAGCAGCCTTATGTATTAACATGGCATTTTTGTCAAGAAAAAGAATTGTTTAGTTAGAAGTTGAATATATATGCCATATATTTATATGTATCTCTTTTGTGTATGACCTATGGCCTTTCTTGCAATGAAGAAATGATTGAATTCATATATCATGAAGAATATGCAGTACCTTTAACATTACATATTTCCTGTAATACGATACCTATTATTGTGGAAATCTGATGACACCACGTAAGCAGTTCGCGCCAGGTGAACCTTGAGCAAACTGTCTCTTCTTTACGAAGGATGCAAAGGTTCTTGAGCTAATCAGACATCAGCTTTCTAAAATGTTTCTACATCATGTCTTTAACATATTGATTTGTACACGAGATGGCCCAAACAAAACACAAATATAACCTGGTGACAGAGTGTATCAAATATCCACAAGACTGTAATGGCAAGGCTTTAAATATTTCCTATTTATTTCTTCAGTTCGTTTTGTTGTTCGGTTTGTTTGCTGTACCGTCATTTACTTGAAAAGTCATCTTATGGGTATTATTCAGTTATTCTTAAACGGAAAACACCTATGAAATTAAGTACACACCTACTGACAAGAATGACTCAAGTTATGTGTTCCTTTTTGACCCTCCTTTAATCATGCTCTACACATGTCATTATCACATAACACTTGTTTCAGGGGCCTTGTCGTTCGACCTCAACAACGAAGATACAATCATTCCGTCACCTCTCTTCAAGGATGGTAGACAACCAAAGGTCTGTTTACGCCCTGATCTCAATACATTGTACAACGTGTCCTGGTCTGGGAAAGATAATGTCTTGGTGGCCGAAGTCATCTGCGAGAGCTACTGGTTAAAGGATGACTCAGCGCAGCTTGCATGTCCTCGTTACGTTGCTCGACAGCAGCTAAAACGGTTGGTCAATAGTGGATTTAATCTTCTTTCTGGATTCGAACTTGAGTTTACACTGACTTAAGCTGACAAACCACCATCCCTGCAAAAGAACTACGGGAGTCAACGGTTCGTCAGCAAGCACAGTGATTTCCTCTTTGCCTTTGTTAAGCATATGTACCTAGCGGGGGTTGATATTGATTCTTTTCATTCTGAATATGCAGGAAGTTCCGTAGAAATGGTATTAAGGCCAGATGATGGTATCAAAAGCGCTGATGCGTGTATTGTCCTCAAGAACGGAATTCTAGAAATGGGGGATGAGAAAGATTACACAATCAGCTTCAACGCCATGCAAGAAAGTGGAACAATGGGTATGCATTTCAACCATTCTCTGTGGTCTATTTGTGAGGGCATAAATATTTTCCACAACCCCGATGAACGGCATGGTCTTAGTGCTTTGGGGAAACACTGGTTGGGGGGACTAATGAAACATGCCAAGGCACTGACTGCCCTTTGGTGCCCAACTGCCAACTGTTACAATCGCCTGCACGAACAGGATCGTCCTGGGCTTATCTACTGGAGCACTGAAATAGGCGCTGCTTGCGTTAAAGTCAAGACTTCGGAAACAGGTACCTATCTGGAAAATCGTATTCCAAGTTCGATTAGCAACCCCTACATCACTCTGGCGGCCACCATTGCTGCAGGTCTTGATGGGATTGATAAGAAACTGGAATGTCCACCCGTGGATCAACGATCCTCTGACGCTCTCCCTAGCACTCTGTCACAGGCTTTATATGAACTTCAGATAGATACGGACATGGTAAACAACCTGGGGAAAGAATTTGTTGAATGGTTTGTGTGTACCATGACAGACATTGAATCGCAGGTGTGATATGATGTTTGTATAGAAGCAAGGCCACTTGCGACATTCGATCAATTTCTTTCTTATTAGATTTTAGAACTATGTATATACAAGATTGATCAGCCAAAGGCAATTTTTGTTACAAATCTGGCCTGTCACAATATGCAAAGTTTACCAGTCATTAATAAAATGAGTTGATGGTGTCCAATGGATCGTTAATACATACCTCGTTAACTGACAAAATCTTGTGAAGTTTCACTTTTCTGTCCTTAATAGCCTAAATCACTGATCACGTAATATCTCGTTTAAACGCTGGAACAGTTATTTGATGCTTCCAATTTGAAAAACACTTGATATGTTTTATCTGGGGTTTCACATCGGCTGTAGTCAGCATCTGACAAGTTGTCAACAAAGACAAATTACTGGACAATTGTTCATGGCTCGTTAGCTTTACTGACCCACTAACTGGCAAGCCGCTTGGAGCCCTGACAGATAATTCCTTCCGCTATCTTGATTTCTTGTTAATCTTGTTTCTCTTGGCTCCCAAGTAATATTTTTTCTTTGGGATAGTTATGTATTGTTTCTTTGGGATAGTTACAGTTTTCATGAGTAAAAGTTTATATTGGAAAAGAAATTTAAACATAAGCTACAATTGGTTGAAATCCACTGTTAAATTAAGTTGATATATATTTTTGCTTGCACCTTATGATGTTTTCTGGACTGGACTGAAAAACTATGGCAACTGTTATGAGTTTTAAAGAGTATGGACCTAGACAAGATCAATTTCAAATTTTAATGGATAAGAGTCAAAGTTTTATCTAAAAATATAGGGATAAAATCTAAATGGATATGTTATGCTTACCTGGAAAAGTGAAATTTTGGATGCGATGACCGAATACAGATTCGATGGATTTCACTAGTTACAAACACTGCAATTGGTTTCATTCTTGAAAAGCTATTGCACATCGAGACATTTGAATGCTATACGCATTACTCACTGACGAAACTCACAGAAGAAATCTCACTGACAAGAACAACTCGACTCTGAAGAACTGCCAGTGAAAGCACATTACACTCACAGAGACACACACACACACACACACACACACACAAGAGTGATGGTGTATGTTTCATTCGTTTTCAGAACTCTTTGCATAACTTAAAGACTTACTGGAAAAGGATCGATACGTTATTTTCTTAAATCAGAAAAGGCAGAACATGCAAGTAAAAAATCATATTCATTTTCGTTTTTGGACTGATACTGAACAGAAGACAATATCTACAACACACTGGATCAATACTACTGCGTCCCCCTATTTCGACCATTAACTAACTAATGGCAACCACATGTAAATCAGGACAGCACTTGTGTCAATAGCACTTTGGTTGAGTCCCATTTAAAGATTATGTTTAGTGTACCAAAAATACCTTATGTTTCCTATAAGAACCACTGTACGAAAGGGCGCGGGATGGACTAGTGATCAAAAAGGTCGCTCGTCACGCCCAAGACCTGACTTCGATTCCCCACATGGGTACTTAGTGTGACGCGGTGGTATTGCTTGAATATTCCAAAACGTGGCATACAGCCATACTGAGACAATGTCATAGCAATGTTTAAGTTCAGCTTAGTACACTTATGGTCAGGTATTGAAAATTGGCTGCACGAGTGTAATCCTTCTGCGGTTACAGTAATAAACTGTTCCCTGTGTGTACTGGGCAGCTGATGATATACCGCGGATGATAGAGACGAAATATGACTGCAGCTATGGTCAGTGAGTGAGTTTAGTTTTACGCCGCACTCAGCAATATTACAGCTATATGGCGGCGGTCTGTAAATAATCAAGTCTGGACCAGACAATCCAGTGATCAACAACATGAGCATCGATCAAATGGGAACCGATGACACGTGTCAACCAAGCCAGCGAGCCTGACCACCCGATCCCGTTCGTCGCCTCTTACGACAAGCATGGGTTACTGAAGGTACATTCTAACCCGGACCTTCCTGGGTCGCAGCCATGTGAGATAGATAAGCCCTTATTAACATGATGACTCGTCTCGGGGTTTTCAACCGTTAAAGTAAATGTAAAGAACTCAGATGCCATGGATCTTCGCTCATGTTTTCTGTCACCGGTTTGCATGGTCAAGATAAACACTTGCTGTTCGGACGTATAGATGAATTATTGCTGACACCGGCGTTTTACGACACTCACGTTGTGACGGTATACTACATTTGTTTGATAATGTTACGTCAAGAGCATTGTGACGTGTATGCGTGCGTCTGTGTGTGCGTGCTAACCATTTGATACTGAATGTCGAATGGTTTGCGATTCAGATACTCTCTCTCTTTCACTTTTTCTACCATTACCTAACACCAAATCCAACCAATATTCAGTTTCTTAGAGTTTATTACAGCTCATGTCCCAGGTTGTCTTTAAGCATTTATGGTCTTGTCAATCCACTTCCGGGCACTCACGGTCCTAGAGTAAACAGCTGGTGAGTTTGGTTCTGCACAGCCAAATCCCCAGCTAACGGTACCTGCACGATGAAAATGAGTTGTATGCTCATTCAGTCTTTGAATTTTTACAAAAATATTTACAAGTATAGACGTGTGTTACGTTAGTGAATAGTGAAGCACGGTGATTATACTCGTGTTTGACAAAGGTACAAATAAATAGGAGCCAGTAAATACTTCTTGGAATGTTCTTACTGCTCACGTTTAATGTTTTTGGAGAGGAGTTGGCATATTAACTATCTTTAGCATGTGCATTGCGCTACTGTCCGTCGTTAGCTGTTTTGGTAACAACCTATCGTATAGGATGTAAGGTACAATCAATGTCAGCCTTCTATCTTCGCGAGAAAAACATTCTTTTCGACTGTTGACTTTTGAAATAGATTTTGAAACATTCTTTTCGACTGTTGACTTTTGAAATAGATTTTGAAAGTATTCAAATAGGAATTTCAATAAACATACAGATAATATCCATACGGCTGTTGTAATAGCACATTAATGGCCCTCCGCTATCTAACTGAAAACAGATGTTGAAAGTCTTGAACAAGAACGTCAGAGTTAGAGAACCACTTGTCCTAGGGTAAGCTGAGTAGGATTTGTTTTCTTTTTGGTTTGAACTCAGCAATACTGTATCCATTCCATCCATGTCACCACTGCCATTTCATCACTGTTGTTGTATAAAAACATACACGATGAACGTCCAAGACCAGTAAATGTTCATATGTCATACATTTGAGTTGTTCCGAAGTTTGTAAAGTTCTGATATATTTACCTACACGTGTAACCAATAGCCATAAAAGGCAGGGTCGAAACTCACTGCATGAAACCCCAATAAGTGACAAACCAAGAGAGTCTGATGTATAAGGGTCATGAAAGTGTGTATGTTGTGTGCCGTGTCAGCTGTCGGAACCAGATACAGAGCAACGACGGAACAAAACAGCCATCACAAGATGCACACAAATTCTGTTAAAACCTAAAAAAAACCCAACATACACCAATGGTGCCCTTTCACATATGCAGCATTGGATTTCGCACACATTTTGTACACCACATTTTGATGTAACGGTGTGGTTTAGACGGAATGCCTGTGTAGTATCTCTATAAGTATGTTATTAGGTTATCCAACATATGTCCATCATAATAATGACAGTATAAATAGCCATTTTACTGCAATGTATTCAAAGCACCAACTTATATCTCGAGGACGTGAGGTCGGGGAAGTGCTGGTGGAGCTCCTGTGCATAGAGCTCGGGTCACAAATCATTTGAAGTTAAGCAACGTTGAGCGCAGAGAGTTTGCGGATGGGTGACCGTGTTGGGCAGCTTGACTCCTGAGAGTTTCTAGGACTTCAGTCCTGCCCCACAACGAAACACAGAAAATTATGGTGCATCACTAAGCAGCGATCCGGGTCAGTACATGTGCCCATCAACCTGTACATGAGGTTGTCTAAACCATTAGCCTTGTCTAAATGAAAGATATATGCTCCATGACTTGTTTGCATATCACTGTTCCTCGACCGAGTTGCGTCTTTCTCCCAGTATCATTCAGATCAGGTCTTGTTTGATGGTTGATTACTACTCGAGTGGTCAGGCTCGCTGACTTGGTTGACACATATCATCGTTTCCCCAGCTGTGTAGATCAATGCTCATGCTGTTGATCACTGTTGATTGTCTGGTCCAGACTCGATCATTTACAGACCGCCGCCGTATGGCTGGCATAGTGCTGAGTGCGGCGTAAAACTATACTCACTCACTCGTATACTTATATACTCGTATACGTATATCTGGTGCTAGTTTACAAACCTTGCAAGAATCCTTCCCTCCTTGTGGATAGCCTGCACACAGCATTGAAAAGTTGTGAAAATCAGTACCATAGATACCTTCACACGTTTGCTGGGACATGATTGGCTTGTCCACTACTTGTAGCATGTCTGATGGGGCACTTTCTGGAATTACAACAAAGGCCACGATTACAAAATAAACATTTACGCGTACTGCATAAACTGTAACAGATATTTACCGTGCATCCTTCAAGTGTAATAGATACATAGTTTTTTCTCTCTGTTAACAGTCTAACACTAAAGCACTATTCGGAAAAGGAAATGTCGTTTTTCTGCCGCACTCCACGAACACTGACTGGTATCATTTCCACATTTAAATCTCCCATGTTCCCGTGTTGTTACTAAACAGGACCCTCTAGAAAAAAGCTTCAACCATAATGCAGTCGAGCACCGTTGTCTCGATAGTCATAGGACCAAGAATAGGACCAGGGTATATCAGCACATATCATTATGACAGAAAACAAAACAAAAAGTAGATTTCATGTATATTTACACTACCGCATCCCTTTGATTCATGTCGCACCGTGTGTAAACGTGTGGAAACAACCTCAGAGGGATACTTGCCCATGAAAAGTAGGTGGATATCGAGTTTCTTTGCAAATATCGAGTTAAAAAGGTGGGTTTGCTTGTTGGGACCATTGAATTATATCGAGATATCCGAAATATCGAGACATCCGCATCGAGTTAAAAGAGCTTGAATAATGATAAATTATGAGGCATGTTGCTGGGACGGAGATGTTATATCGAGACAACCGAGATATCGAGTTGTCAGAGTTCGACACAACGGTGCTCGACTGTATATACAAGTGGTACATGTCCCCTTGTGTCCGAGAGGCTTCTCTTGGAAGATCTCCCTGCAACCAAACTGCAAATGTGCTAAAATAACACTGACTTATCAACTAAAAAGCAGTTCCATGAATTATTTTTAAATCCTTTTAGCGAGCAATTTAAGTACCTCATATCTACGTTCGACATAATTACATAGTTGTCTGTATATGTTTGTGACCATACCTACGGATGTGGTACCCCATCCAATAACATAGCATATGGTTCCTGATGACGGGCTGCTGGCGGCAACACAGCCGAAGTTGATTTCTGGCCGTTGTATTTGTGGAGGAACTGCAAGTTCCATCAAACCCGTGTCATATTCCAACGTGATAGGGTTGAATGACGGATGGTTCATTGTTTGCTTAATGGCGGTGGTCTCCGATGAAGCTTCATTTTTGGAGGCCCCCGTGAAGAACCACCTCCTCGTGGTGGGTGCTGGGTAATGCTAAGAGCTCTTCAACCCTTCAGGGGTTGCGCCACTGTGTCGGTGGAGGACGGGATTCTGGGTTCCAGGATTAGCGTTCCTTTGCCCAACACACCACTTCGGCCCTTTCTTCACCTAGACGGGTGGTAGAATAGGCCCGGTTCTACCAATCGGCTGGTCATGCCGAGCCCTGAGCACTAAAGTTCATTGCTCTACTATTATTTGGCTCGGTTTTATTTGGACACAATATTGACATGTTTTGTTCTTTTGTGTATACTATATGATATACTATATGGATTTTCAAATTTGTGAAAATTTGCCTAGATGCCGGTGTCAAAAAGGCGGTGGCTCATAGGCCAATCTGGTGGAAAAATTATTTTATATTTTTTTATATTTTTTCTGCTTGAGTCTATTATCCGAGTATCCTTGGTGCTGCAGGTCGGAGACCCGCTTGTTGTTAGCCTTGTCCTTGTGATACTCCGTGGTGGGTGGGGAGCTCGGATGATGAAGTCTAAACACTTACCATGGCTTATGAAACCCCCACAAAAAAAAGCAAACGTCCTCTTGAAAATGATCCTGATGACGACCTCCTACTACCCAAACAAATTGATTACTGGCCACGTTTTGTTGTCATTGACACCAAAGATAACACACCACTGAAGTTAAATCCTTTTGCCGTGTCTAAGGGTATCCAAAGCATTGCCGGCGATGTAAAGAACATTAAAAGATTACGTTCTGGTGCGCTGTTGATCGAGTGCAGCAAAAGACAACAGTCCACCAACCTGTTGAACACTGACACTTTTGTTGGCATTCCGGTTACCGTCACGGCCCACAAAACACTTAACACTAGCAAGGGTATCGTGCGAGACCGCGATAGATTGCTGGCTGACATGTCGGAAATTGATATCGTCTCCGAGATGAAGGATCAGGGTGTGCTATATGTTAAACGTTTCTCAACACGTAAAAATGATACAACCATTAAAACCAATACATATCTGTTTTCCTTTTCTTTACCTAATGCTCAAAAATCACTGAAGGCAGGTTATTGTAACCTCAATGTTGAGACATACATTCCAAACCCTCTTAGGTGCTTTAAATGTCAAAAGTTTGGCCACGGCGTACATACTTGGACATTGTCTGTTGTGTGTGCTCACTGTGGCGAAAAGACACACACAACAGAAGATTGTAACAGTAATGTCAAAAAGTGTATCAACTGCGCAGGGAATCACCCATCTTACTCTAAGGACTGACCCGTATGGAAACCGCAAATGGCAATCAATCAAATAAAATTCTCGCAAAACATCAGTTTTGCAGATGCCACGGCTCAGAACAGACAGACAGTTATGCTTCCATTGCCAGAACAACGGCTGAGGCAACATCTAGAGTAACCAAAGTATCTGCAAGTTGTCAGACAAACTTAACTTTGGTAAAAACAGAATCTCCTAAACCTGTCTCGCCTGCTACATCTACACAAACTGTAAAAACTCACTTCCTGGTACATCTCGAATCCAATTAAAGACATCCCCTGATCATGAACCATCTTCTCAGTCGTCCACAAAGTCTCAAAAAGGTCTTGTTAAAACCAAAATTAAAAAGCCAGATGTTTAAAAAGAACTCAGTGGCAGAGCCCCAAAAGGGTCGGAAAATCAAATTCAATTATTCAACAAATATGGATCTCTTGAGGATTTGGACGTGTCCGAAAACGTCCGTAGTAGGGCACACAGCTTGTCGCCCACCAAAAAAGTGCGGGGTAGATCCCCAATAAATCCCCCCAAAAGATAGGTTATCAGAATAATATTATACAGTGGAATTGCAGAGGATTAAAGACTAATTTCAGTGAATTGCAGCTTTTAGTCCAGGATTTAACACCATCAGCGTTCTGTCTGCAGGAGACCTATTTAAAACAGGCAGATGCTTTTGTCCTGCGTTCTTTCAATGCATATCATTGTTTTTCACCTCAAGGTGACAGAGCCACGGGAAGAACTTCCATCTTAGTCAAACAGAACGTTTGACATAGCCCTGTTTCACTAAGTACCAATCTACAGGCTGTAGAAGTGCGAATTACTACACATGTTGCGTTTACTTTATGTTTTTGTATATATCTCTCCGTCTTCAACGTTTCACAAAACTAATCTTCAAGCTCTATATAACCAACTACCGAAACCATGTATTATCATGGGATTTTTCAATGGCCACAATCCACTCTGGGGTGGTGCAACTACAAACGATAAAGGTAAACTACTGGAGTTTTGTTCAGATAATGATTTATGTATTTGTAATGATGGTTCCAACACATATTTACACCCTGGTACAAGAACCTATTCTGCTCTCGACTTGTCAGTCACAAATTCAGAACTACTAAATGAATTTGAATGGTCAGTCCATGATGACCTCTGTGGAGGTGACCATTTTCCAACTATACTAAAACCTGTAACTCCATCTGATGTTCCTCCCTCATCACGGCGGAAATTTAAAAAGGCTATCTGGGCTCTACATGAAACACTGTGTGCTGCAAAACTGAAACCTGAACTTTTTATTGACGTTCCTGATGCTATTAAATGTTTTTCCTATGAACTGAACATCATAGCTGATGAGTGCATACCAAAGTCCTCTGCAATTCCACATATTCGAAAACCTTGGTTCAACGATGAGTGCAAACAAGCCAGGAAGGCAAGGAAAAAAGCAGAACGTTATTTCCGTTGCCACCCTATGGTGCATAATTTAAACAAATTTTAAATTTTAAATTATAAAGCGCGGCGTACATTTAAACAGAATAAACGCCAATCTTGGAAAAATTATGTATCCAAAATAAATTCTCGAACGCCCATGTCCAAAGTATGGAACATGGTACAGAAACTTAAAGGTAAAGGTACTAAATCTAGCGTCCATCATCTTAAACATGGAGATCAATTACTTACTGATAAATCAGATATTGCGAATAAACTGGGTGAAACTCTTGCTAAACACTCTTCCTCTTCTAATTATGTGCCTAAATTCCAACAATATCAAAAACAACAAGAAAGGAAACCTATTAATTTCAATTCAGATAATGGGGAACACTATAATGAACTATTTTCTATTCATGAGCTCCATACGTATACTGCTCTTGAACAAGCTCACGATACTGCTACAGGGGCTGATTACATACATTATCAACTCCTGAAGCACTTACCAGAATCCTGTCTAGAAACTCTTTTAAATATTTTTGATGATATTTGGACATCAGGTGACTTTCCTCCCTCATGGCGTGACGCTATAGTAGTACCAATACCTAAACCTGGACGTTATCATACAGATCCGTCAAATTATAGACATATTTCACTAACTAGCTGTGTTTGCAAAACCATGGAACGCATGATAAATAATCGACTTGTTTGGTACTTGGAAACACATAACCGTATAACAGATATACAATGTGGTTTCAGTAAAAACAGAAGTACTGTCGATCACTTAGTGCGTTTGGAATCATTTGTTAAAAACGCTCTAATTAATAAACAACACGCTGTGTCTATCTTTTTTTATCTTGAAAAGGCATATGACACAACGTGGAAATATGGCATTTAAAGAGATTTACATGGCTTCGGATTGAGAGGCCGTTTGCCTCAATTTATAGCCAACTTGTTAAATGACAGACAATTACAAGTCCGCGTGGGTTCTACCCTGTCTGATCATTAAAATCAGGATCAGGGTGTCCCACAAGGCAGTATTTTGTCTGTCACTTTATTTAGCATCAAGATCAACAGTTTATCCAAGGTTTTAACCGTTCAATTGATGGATCACTTTTTGTGGATGATTTTAATATTTCTTGTTGCGGTAAGAATATGCATACTATTGAACGGCAACTGCAGCTGTGTTTAAATGAAATAAATAAATGGTGTCTTGAAAACGGCTTTAAATTTTCTAAATCCAAAACTAATTGTATACATTTTTGTAGAAAATATAAACCGCATAAAGACCCGGAGCTGTCTCAATGGCACTCCCATCAAAGTTGTTAAGGAGTCCAAGTGCTTGGGTTTAATTTTTGACTATCATTTAACGTTTCTGCCGAATATTAAATCCCTTAAAACTAAATGCCTGAAGGCACTTGACTTGTTGAAAGTTGTTTCAAATTCTAAGTGGGGAGGGGATCAAGCCACTCTCCTACACCTATATCGATCATTGGTCCGCCCGAAACTTGATTATGGCTCCATCGTATATGGTGGAGCCTGCAAAAGCAACTAAAAACTATTAAATTCTGTCCATCACCAAGGTCTAAGACTTTGTCTTGGATCCTTTAGAACTTCTCCTGTTGACAGTCTCTACGTCGAGGCAGATGAACCATCTCTTACACAATGCCGTATAAAATTGTCCTTGCAGTATATAACAAAATTTTATTCTAACGAGTCTAACCCTGCATTTAACTGTGTCTTTAATCCTCTTTATGAGGATTTGTACAACAAAAAGCCTTCTCTTGTTCCACCTCTTGGTTTAAGAATTAAACCATTCATTTCTGCTGCTGGCATTGAGCTGGTAAATATAGCTCCTTCCCGTCTTCTTTCTGCTCCTCCTTTGCAACTGGTGAGGCCACAAGTTGACCTAACATTAACAGCAGAAACATTAAAAGCAGAAACTAATGAATTACAATATAAACAAGAATATAATCAGTTAAAAAGTAAATATAATACATACAAATCCTTATTTATTGATGGGTCTAAGGATAGTGGCGCAATGGCTTGTGCCACAGTCATTGGATCCAGAACAATCTCTTCGAGTACCAAATAACAGCTCTATTTTCACAGCAGAAGCTAACGCCATAGCAGCAGCTCTTAAATATATTAATAGACACCACAAATATAAAGAATACATCATATTTTCAGATTCTCTTTCTTGCCATCAGGCTATTAAAAATCTTTCGTGTAAACATCCACTTTTAATAGAAATTATTGAATTATATAATGATCTTGCTACTGGCCAATGTGACATCGTCTTTTGTTGGTTGCCTAGTCATGTTGGAATCTCTGGTAACACAATGGCTGATTTGCTGCTAAGGCAACACACAACAAATCTGTGACACCACTTCTTATCCCATATTCTGATTTTAAAGACAGCATTAGAACCTACATCCGTGATCTGATGCAGAAGAAGTGGGACACCCAAGTAGGTATCAATAAATTACATGAAATAAAACCCTACTTTGGTTGTCAGTCCAGATTTGAAGAGGTCATCATGCGACGATGTCGCATTGGCCACACAAGATATACACATGAATATTTGTTGAAAGGCGAAGATCCTCCATTTTGTATCCCTTGTGATGAGAGAACCACGGTCAAGCATGTGCTGCTTGACTGTGTTGAATTCTCCATCATCAACTATTTCAATATAAAAAAAACAGTACAGGACCTTTTTAATAAAGTTTATTATCATTTAATCATTGAATTTTTAAAAGAGATAGATTTGTTAAATGAATTTTGATATATGTTTGTACATAGATAAAGTTTTATAATTGGTAGTTCAGTTTATCAACTTAGATTGTTAGTGGCTGTATCCTCAAAGGGGTTAAAGTAGCATAAAATAATTGTCCTCCTGAGAGGGTACGCAAGTCCCAAAAACTTACAAAGTTAAATTTTCAGGTACCAAGTTTTTAAACGTAGTATTTGTGTTCTTTTACATTTCGGCTAAATTATCCTACAATCGCCAGCGGCTGAAGGGATGGTGTAAATCCAGCTAGGTTCCATGCAGGTACCAAAAGTAATGTAAGTACCCATGGTTCCTAGTATGGTGTTCTACCTTCAGTTGCTGGCGATCTATAGACCGTGTTTTATACTGTATTGTCCTCTTTAATTACACTGTTTTAGTTTCACATGCTAGTTTTTTGTTCATATCTGTGATACTTTAGTGTTTTTACTGTCCATCGTCGACAGGTTTAACTCTTCATAATGTTATCATTTTTGTATTATATAAATTGTTTCCGTCACGATATGGCTGAGATATTGCCGATGTGACGTTAAATATTAACTCACTCACTCACTCATTTTTGGATAAATCATGAGCACCAAGGACGACTTCCAAATCGGATACTACTGCTCCATTGTACAACAGAAGACATTTTAGATAACCCCTTTAATAGAATACAAATGCTAATCGTCATGATTCCCCCTTTCCACATTGCACATGTGTGAGACGTTTTGCTCCTTATTACAGAACATGAGCCCTTAAAATGAGTAACTTTGCTTTTCTGCATACATTGATCCCTGTGAGTATATATACTGTACCACTTGTTAGGGTGTACGTTTGTTAGATGGCAGTGTATATAACCGTTCATTATATGGCAGTAATGCATTGTACAAAACGTTGTGATCAGATTGCAGTGTATGTGTTAAGATTAGTCTATACAATGCACTTTATGCCGACAGACCCCTGAAGATCCGGGTTAGAATTTGTGTTCAGTAACCCATGCTTGTCATAAGAAGCTTGTCGTCAGGCTCGCTGACTTGGTTGACACATGTCATCGGTTCCCAGTTACGTAGATCGATGCTCATGCTGTTGATCACTGGATTGTCTGGTCTAGACACGATTATTTACAGACCGCCGCCATATAACTGGAACATTGCTGAGTGCGGCGTAAAGCTAAACTCACCCACTCACTACTGACGACAGCGAGCCATTGTTAGTCTATACAATGCACTTACTACAGACAGCGAGCCCTTCATAGTCTATACAATGTACTTACTGCAGACAGCAAGCACCTCATAGTCTATACAATGTACGTACTGCAGACAGTGTGCGCCCGTGAGTATATACCACTTGTTAGAGGAACCCTTCAGAAGAGACCCTCCACACTGGAAGACACCTCGATACTTCAAAGCAACCTTTGATGTAAGAAACGTGTAAGATGAAAACTTGATGAAATCAGTGTCTGAGGATATACATACGTCATGGCCTTGCAGCCCTACCATCACAAGCTTAGAACGGGGCAAAACGTTGATAATGTACAGTACAACGACAGGCAATCTCTAGCCTGTTTTAACATTGTATTGTCCACATAGTGCTATTACTTGTAACTTTCCACATTAGTTTTAATTGTAATTGTGATGTACTAGTTGTTTTACTGTCCTTTACCGACAGGTTTTTTTATACTATACACATATTCCATTTCAATGTCAAACATGTTCTCGTCACGATATGGCTGAAATATTGCCGATGTGACGTTAAATATTAACTCACTCACTCACTCACTCACTACTGTCAGTTATATTCTAGACTGTGTTGACTTTACCAGTGTGTTTAATGCAATGTTCCTTTCATCGCGAAACTCATATGAACGGATAAATGAAAATCAATGTATCTTCCAGCACATTGTAATATGTTACATTTCTTTGTTATAGATATGACCCTTCGTATTAGACAACAGAGCGAGGGATCTTAACTTGTGTACTTACCATCCATGGAAACGAATGAGGTGTCACTATGTTCCCTCCAACAATTTGTTTGTTGTTTGCTTTACGGAGGGTTGCGTAATCAAAACCAACACTGTTTGTACCACAAACTTGAGGATCCAAATCACTGAATACCCCTGCAATAAAGTTTGTAAAGGCATATTATACGTACGCATCATGTTGCCATGATTGCACACAAGAAAGCATACCAAGTATTATCATAGAGTATGAGAACAGACGATGCATCTGTAATGGCCTTAGACGGTCGCAAGTGTTGTAACGTGAATAGATATTGTACTTATAGGAAACTCCACGTCCACGAACAAAAATGCAAACATGTAATCAAGTGCAAATGGGTATGAGTAGCTCCGGTTTCGGAGATCCGTTCCAAAATGCAGTGACTTGATATCATGACAGTTCCATCTTCCATATAAGCACTTCTCCCTATTAAATACACATTTATGAATGACTAACAATCATTTCATTGCTAGAAATGACGTTATCTTAGGTGATTCGTTTGCCGTGTCTTTTGGCGCTACTGTAAAACTTTCAATACAGATAGCTCTCTGTCATAGACAACAAATCAGTAGTGTGAATAACAGGAAGACTTCACTAGTAAAAAACCTGTAACAAGTAATGGTTACAATGAGATTTAATTGTTCCGGATTGCGATCCACGTTTTTTTTATGCCCAAGGGGCAAGGGAGGTAACTCCAAGAGTGGGAACTCACTGCGGTGAAGATGACCAGAGATGTAGACAGTTTAATGGGTTTGCAATTTGTCTTGAACCGACAACATGGAGGAAGACAAACACAACAAGCAATTAACACTACGGTGTATGATCATTATACAAACAGAAGTAGAGAAACGCCGTGTACAAGAATGAACAAACCTTTTGTTATGTCTACAACAACTTGTGTACACTATCTTGCCTATGGTATCCACCTGGATGTTACATACCGGGAAGGCACTGTTTGTTCATTGAATTATATCTAGGCTGTATATGATTGACTTTAATTCAAATTCCGCGTGTCTGCACTCCTTTATGTAGGCACGGGGCGGTGGGGTGGCCTAGTGGTTCAAGCGTTCGCTCGTCACGTTGAAGGCCCGGGTTCGATTCCCCACATGGGTACAATGTGTGAAGCCCATTTCTGGTGTCCCCCGCTGTGATGTTGCTGGAATATTGCTAAAAGCGGCGTAAAACTATATTCACTCACTCACTCATGTAGGCACACCAATAGTGTCTGAACAACTTCATGTCTCATAAGTGTTGGGATTGTCAACATATCCGCACTTAGTACCCCTTTCAGCACGAGACATAGTTTTAAAATACATTGCACTATTAATATATATTATCTGTTTACCTTTATGATAAGAGAAATGCGGTCTTCTCACGTTAGATTTGCCTCTGGTGTAATGTGTCACCTTACATATAAGTAGGCGTGGCATAAATAACATAGGCAGGTACCATGATTGTGAAAATCACAAATATTGCATATTTATACTTGTTTTTCCCTTACAAGCTCATAACACATATTTATCCAGTAGTATCGGAAACACGTTTATACCTAACCCGTAAACCGTACCAGATCCCTCAAATGGTCAGCCCAGATAATTAATAGTGTGTGAGTGAGTTAAAATTTTACATCGCAATATTACAGCCATATAGCAAACGAAACAAGGTCATTATTTTAAAATATCTGTCGACAAAGGACAGTAAAATAGGTGGGTATATCACAGTAGTTTTAAAATAAAACCAAACTGACCATACTTAAGATTAGAAGTAGATTCAAAAGATTCATTCCTACCAATTAAAACCAGGCTATAAATCACTAACAACCAAAGTTTGACCACCTTACTGGGGATCAAGGGGACTTACAGTGCTTTTGCTTCCTACATGATATCCCAGCAAGAGATAAGTAATAACATACGGAAACGAACTACAATTCGTCAAAGGCTGTCAGTAATTTTAATTACACGTATGATTGCTAACTGTAACATAATACCTTTGTAAATTAGTTGTGTGAATATTTTGATGATGGATCAAATAATGAATTGTTTCCTAAACCAACTGTCAGAACAAATATCATCATAGAAGCCCAAGATCAAGTAACAGAGTGTAGTATAGTCTCTTACCTGTAAACATCGACCCCAATATGAAACCGAGTAATAGTGCCATAACTATGGACAGCTTGCCCCAGAACCTGAGACACCTCAACTCTTTAGACTTGGATTGCCTTCAGTTTTAAGACAGATAAACGTACACGACAGATACAGATGACCGCTCATTGTGCTGATTTAGCATTTTTAACGTAGCAATATTTCGTTTTAATACATAAACCCATAAATTAAAACCAATTTTTTGGGTGTATGTTACGATATTAATCTAAGGTAATTAATAACGATCAAATATAACCTAAATGCACACAGACATAACATTTCTTTGTAAAGGATATGATATATACATGCACATATATGATGTTAAATATTATTCAACTATCATGTTCATTACGTAACTTCAAAGTAATATTCACCTCATTTTGCCCAAAATACGTTATGAGACCAAATTGGATCGTGTGGCTGCTGACTTGGTTGGATGTGTGTAATCGTAATCGTAGGACGCTGAGCATGATATTAATCATTGGTTTGTTTGACCAAGATTACATGCCATCCGGAATTGTCTTGAATCTAGCTGACCAAAATTAATCTCATTTCACATTACCAGTACAAATGACGATGGTTGTGAGATAGAATTCTCAATGGCCTTGATTGTGTTTCTAGGGTTGTGAGCACTGTCAGCAAAGCTAAGGATTACTCCCTCCCGACTATACAATAAGCGCTCCCTGAGACGCGCATGCGCAGTGTAAACGACATGTTATGGAAGGCGCCATTACAAAACTCTACCCGACTCATAGTCAATAAAATCAATGGAAACACGCAATTGTTTGGTCATTTCGAAACAAGCACCATACTGTGTCTTTAAGAAGAAGAAGAAGGGTTTATTTTGTATAAAGGCCATACGACCCATCGTACAAGGTGGTACAATAGTGATTTTGGTTACCATTTTCATACAACAACGCTAACAGGAGCAGAATAAACATGTTCTAAGAACTTGACAAAATTATTTATGATGTTATTGTCGGATGATGTTCATATGCTGCGGAGTGAATAATAATTTCCATGGCACGTTTTCGGAATGTAACGACGACGCATATCCTCATAGCGTTTACAAAAATAGACAATATGGATTTCATCCTCAACACTTTTACAGTGTTTACATAACACAATATCATCATTGCAGGAGGCAGTACCTCTTCTAATATATTTGATACCTACTGCATTACACCCTGATCTAAATAATGTGAACAGACGCTTGCACCTATTACTTATGTTCCTTATGTTTGGCTTTCATCAAAGTGGTAAACGTCTGAAACGTTCATGATTTTGATTTTCCTGCCACAATTTGATTTAATGGTGCTAAAATATGCACAACACCAGTCTTTGAGTCGCTGAGGTTTTGCATACACAATAAATATAAGTTATTAAATAATCAGTCATCGAAAGGACTGTAAAATAACTAGAAAATCTCAGATGGTGTCTAAAACTAGCATGGAAATCTAACACTATTTTATTTACGAAGACGATACAGTATAAAAACAGGCTATAGGTCGCCAACAAGTGAAGGTAGATCACAAAAATAAGGGACCATGGTCCGCAGTTGACAATACTGGTCTCATATGTGGCATTTTTAATATGTCTCCTATACCAGGCCCCGATTTCTAAATACAAACCTAAGTCTAAGTTTTGACTTAAGTTTGAGTGTTTACTCAAATTTGAGACACCGCGAGAAAATTCATTTCCCAGAACGAACTGAAATCGATATCAAATTAAAACATGATAGACAATTGAGTTTGGTGGATACATTACTTAAGTTGTTTGGGCTTTTTTATTTAAAACATGCAGTTGAGTTAAAACTTTAGTTGTTATAATCGTCAAACTCAGTTTGAAATTTGAGTAAAAACTTCAGTTTGTTTCGAGAAATCAGGGCAAGGTTCTTTCATCAAACATGGTGATGGTTACGTATATAGTTTGGGGGGTCTTGACAGGGGAGCCATTACAAACATTTCATGTAGGACAGACATACTTTCAATTTTAGCTGGATGCAACAAATAGGTTCATTGCAAATGTGATTTCTCGGTTTGGGTATTTTAATAAATGATAACATCCCGCAGACTTAACCGATCTCATTCCATAGGTTCCTTCTCTCTTTCGGCCCATTCTTGCCATATGCCTGGACTCATAATGATGTTAAGGTTGAATTACAAATTGGTAGGAGGAGCTTGCTCACATTATTTGCCCACATTTGAATGACGGACGAAGGTTTTTATTGTCAACATGGGACAAGTTGCCTTTGATGATGATGGCCTACATGTTGGTGGCAGTCTTGGTCGCCATAAGTAGTGGAATGTAGTAAGCTGCACGTCCTGCAACGCGTTCTGACGATAGAGCATCCTAGATAAAATGGTGTTCCTATATTAGAAGGAATTTGTTAAAGTTAGGAAAACATATTTTCAAATGAGAACGTTATTTCACAATCAAGAATACGAAGCCTTTTTTGGATTTAGTAGTCTGTGTCTGGTTTGGCCATACGTTTCAATGCAATATCATGAACTATACCCTCTAGATACTGTGAGCCCACCTATCAGCAAAAACAGTGGGATCGTTTAATTCATTTCAGTGACACAGAGTTTAGTATTATTCTTTCTTTGTGCAATCCCAATTCCTTAAGAAGAGGCAACAAATCTTCTAAATGAATGGTATAATTTAGCGTTCAACCTTTGTAGTGATCATGGCTGCGTCGCCGTATTTGGGATGCCGAAAACAGGCTGATTGCATTGCTGTTCCTCTGGTGAGAAAGACTGCACTTAAGGCTATTAGATATCATTTTTATGCAGCTGACTGAAATGTTGGCAGACACGACTGGAAACGTTCCTGTTGAATGACTAAAGTTAGAGCATTTTTTATAATATCAGGCCATTACCCTATTCGAGGAATGTATCCATCAATATCCACATAAAGGAACGATATGCCGTTCATCTGCAGCTGACAAAGAAACATGTTCCATGTCGTGTGTCTTTTAACAGTCTAATTTGCAAAAAATGTATAAATAGTTAAACTAGTGATGGACAGAAACGTTTTTTTTATGGATAGACAACTTCTTTAATGCAATCGATGCGACGTTTCGGTGTAGATGCTAATCTACACGATTTGTTTTAGAATACTTTGCACGATTTGTTTTGTCCACCATTCTTTTGAAAGTAATTCAGTCAGACAACAATGAGCAATCAATCAATCAACGTACTGGTGGTTACTCTTTTAAGGGATAGGCTTTTACACAGGCACTTTACGACCAAATGTATTCAGCAGGTAACGGGTCATTTCACCCCAAACACGTTCACCCCAAGACAGTTTCACCCCAAATCGTTTCACCCAGGTTGATTCACCCCAGCAAATATATTATTATTATTTTTACTATCAACTAAAAATGTTTCACTATTTTATTCATCTATGTATAATGTCAAAACAGCATATTTAGATTGTTTGAATAATTGCATCAGATCATATGGACTGTGTTGGATCGGGTGACGTCCTTCAGTGACGATGGCAAGGAGGTGCCTTGGACAGGAATGAACTTGTGGAGAGTTCCTTGCCTGTGTACTGTGTCCGGAGGTGAAGAAGCTTCTCGTGGATCTTCTTGAATTTCTGTCTATTGTTTCTTGATAGAAGACCATTCTGAACCAAGCGCACTTGGGTTTTCACTTGGTCAGTCTCACTTCTCAAGAGTGGCACAAGATCATAAAATGGCAATCAAGCATCACCACACTTTATGTTTAGTTGCCTGTGAAATCCTTCTACGTCAGCATTGTTCCTGACTGATTGCTGGAACACATTCAGCGGTAATTAACCGGCGGTACTGGCTTCCAGTTGTTCCATTGTTTAGCCTGTTTAGCTTTGTTGTCTTATTACTTTTGTTGTTCTTGCATGTACATAATATATGCTCTCTGCGTTATACTATTCATTCACCTGATGAAGGAGTAAGGATATACTCCGAAACGTTGTGTTCCTTATATCAAAGAAATTGACATCCATAAAAACTCTCTTCCTTAACCATATGCAGACTCGACTGCAGCATGGTGGGTGGCAGTTGTACTGTCTCTGACCAAAGAGTTTTTGATTTTTGTGTTGAACATTTTTGTGTAAATGCCTCCATGTTATTGATTTGTCTCGGGGACACAGCGGACAAAGATATATCCTATGAACATGACCGTCTCTCTACATTTTATGAAACATGAACATGTTGGAATGTATAGACCCAACCCTATTGCTGTACAATTATTATTCATACAATAAAATATCATGGTTTAGGTAATCTTTAAGTGTATTTCTTTCTTCTTTGGCAATATTCTAATGACTTACTTCGTTAAAGCCCACGAACTATACCAATATTTATACTCATAAGGATAATAAAATGACAACAAAAGAATATAAGAAAACCTCCCAAAAATGTATTTTCTGGAACAATCTGTTAGTGACTAATGCTTTTGCAAAGTCGTGTACAACTCAGCTACACCACAACACATTTACTATTTGCATTGCAGCCCCTCCTAGCCTTACAATAACATCTCGAAACGCCATCCATTATGTAGAAGATTGTGGTAGTGTCGACAAAGACGCCTTACCATGTACTGCTGATTTTACTCAATCCCATCATCACATGTATTTTTGTCAGCTTGAAATGCAGCTCTTTTGATCCCTAACTGACTGACTGAGTTTGGTTTTACGCCGCTTTTAGCAATATTCCAGCAATATCACGGCGGGGGACACCAGAAATGGCCTTCACTCATTGTACCCATGTGGGGACTCGAACCCGGATCTTCGGCGTGACTGATCCCTAACAGCTGATAAGGAAAGAATCAATTCAACTACTCTATCTTTCTTTGTGAATAACTTTTTGCAATTGCCCGGTAATTGAAAGAGAATATGGAAGTGAAAGGCTCTCTCAGACTTGAGGTAGTCCTGCAAAGATGCAAGTTCAAACAGCTATCCAGAAGCACATCTTTCTCTGTACAACAATGAAATGGCCTCAACAATGACAAATCATCTTCTAAATCGTAACATGACACCTATCGGGCCCCTTGCCATCTCTCATGCTTCAATCACAAAGTGCAGAAATATGAAACGTCCAGG